GTGAGGCGGAATGAAAGCAGTTTTATTTAATAATTATCATTTAGTTGTTTAAGGAATGAATTTATAATGCATACCCAAGTTATACTGTACAGTATGTTGTAACCTTGGTTGGGACAGTTTATGCCTTATAAACCATGAAGCAGTTTTTAAAAAGCGTAAACTTTTCTAACCAAGGTTTCACAAGTATGGGTAGGTATTAAATTTATTCCTTATATTAATTTTAATTTTCTATCATTAACTGTAAAAAGTAACTTGTGAGACAATTTTTCTTCAAAAATGCCTTCAAATTGTACAAAATTTAAGTGTAACGTCAAGCGGATTGATACATTTTTTGAGGTACGTCATATGGTGATGTAGGCAAGCCAGGTTATAATAAGGTAGTTAATAAGCAAAAATGAATTCTTCTTGCAACCTTTAAAATACTTTACTTGCTGTACAGATAATTTATAATAGGATTGTTTATGTTGAAACTCAAAGGTTGTTTACATTTTGTATTTTGAGGAGGTATGGTCAGAGTTTTGAAGTAAAATTGCTAATTGATCCAGTTTTCTATGTCCAGTGGTCTTGAGTTGAGAAAGCTAAATATTTGTGTAGTACATGAATGTTAGGAAAAAAATCATTAATATAATCCTGACATGTATGTAAATGTTAATTGTTATTAAACCTGTGACACTTTGAAGTTATATCAGGAATTCTGTGAGCCTAGTCTGTGAACAGAAGGTACATAATAGAAATATTTATGATATAGCATGATAAAAATAATATTAAATACTCCATCATACACAGCTGGTGTTTATGAAGTCACACGGTGAACGTTTACTTTATCATAGTTTTATGAAGTCCATAGTATGTGCACTATGACAAGTAGCATTGACAAATGACACTATGACAAGTAGTAGTGTATAGACTAGTATAAACTTAAGGTTTCATTTCTTTTTAGGTTCAAAATTTTTTGAACTCAGCCTTGAAGTTGGACCTAAATTTGAAAAACAGAGGTTGAAATTTTCCAGGAACGCTCCCTAGCCCAGGGGCTACTGATCAGTAAAAAATTACTAGCCCAAACCTCAAACTAACTAGCCCAACAATTTTTTTATGCAGAATGAAAACATAACACAAGAAAAAGTTTCAAACACTTTGGTGACAGAAACAAATTAAACTAGTTCTTCAAAAGAAGCCATTCTACATAGAAAGTGAAAGTAAACTGTTGAGAATTTTTTGTTTGGTCTGCTGCTAGTCCAATGGACTATCGTTGCATTTAAATTAGCTAGCCCGAGTCTTAAAACGATTTATAGCCCCAGATGTTGGGCTACTGTATATATATATATACATATACACACACACACACACACACACACACACACACACATATATATATATATATATATATATATATATATATATATATATATATATATATATATATATTGCAACCCCTGCTTTAACCTTAATTGGCCTTGAGCTGCCATATGAGGGCATCAGTGTTTCAAGAACTTATCTTGTTCAAAGTAACTAAATGCTGTATGATGGAAAGTCCAGAGAGGGAGAGAGAGAGAGAGAGAGAAAGATATCTCTCAAAGAATTTCTGATAAATCATCCCAATTATCCAGTGATGACATTTCATGAGACAAAATCTTCCTGGAAAATAAAGTGAGTGCATGCAAGCCAAATTTCTCATGGGAAATTCCTAAAATCTGATTTATACTCATTAATAGGTCTATTAATCCTTCTGAGCTCCTATGACATTACAAAATTTTGAACTTATACTTACTTTGTAAAGAATGCTGATGAATTTATAAATGGAAGTCAAAAGAAATGGAAATTCTAGCTAATCCTGCTTCATGGCATATGATTGTTTTTTTTTTTTAGATCAATCTTTTTGACAAAAAAAGAGACACAATTTAAAAATTCTTTTAGGCTTGTCATTGTTGGCAACTGAAAATGTATTATTTTAAGACATTGAATCATGATACAATTATTATAATGAACTTGAGGTTTGAGTCAAAATAACTTTGCTTTGGCATTCAGGTTTGTTTAGAATAGAACACACCTTTCCCAATCTTCTGATCTAAAATTATAATTGATATTTGGCGTATGATGAAAATTTTACCTTTGAAAAAGTGATGTTTTGACCTAGTTTTGAATTGACCTTTGACCTTTAATTCCAATACCGTAATTTGCCTTTGACAGAAAAAAATCTTGTCTGTTAAACATTTTAGATTTTTGTTGTTAATTCTCATGTAGTTGTGTGCCATTTGTCCTCAAGGTTCCTATGTGAGCTTGACCGTGAAATAATTAGAAAGGGGGGACATTGCGGGTAGTTGTTTTTTTATGTTGCAGCTTTCAATTCAGAGCAGCCCTATTTTTCTTTGCACAAAATCATTTATTCATAAGAGATGTAGAATATGAAACTTGGGCACAGTGGTTCTTAGGCTAGACCAGTGAAATTATGTAACATTTTGGTCCCAAAGGAACCCTGGGATGTTTACAGTTAGTTTATGATGGTGGCAAAATGACATGAAAATGAAGCTTTTTGTGAAACTTGTCTGAGTATTAATATCCCCCTAGAGATGGCTAATGTCTGATAAATAGAGTCTGTGTTGTCAAAATATTCAATGTAGAAAATTGTTGAATTGCAAGAGTTGCTGATGAACACCACAACAGCCCACATGATGATCTTTTACATGGTTTGATTAAGAAAAGCTATACACATCTGGAATGCTTTATACATGTACATATAAAGAACTCCATGCCTAGAGTGACAGAGGTTTTAATTAAGTAGATAGAAGAAGCATGCATATACGGAATGAAAGGGTATTGATAAGCTATAAAATCATGCAATTTTTCAAAAGATCTTAGCTGGCATTTAAGATGAATTGTTGTGAGATGTTATCCTTGGGGCCATTGATTGCGTGCTTGGTACTGGTGTTAAGCAGAGTATCAAGTGAGTGGGTGGGACGAAATTGGCTCATTGATCTTGGCTCAAAATTAAAATTCCACTGGAGACAATCAATTTACTGACAAATTCTAGTAGTTACTGTGTTTTAAGGTCAAACTTGATATTTGTTTCATGAGCAATATTAGACTGGATGCTGTTAATAGGTGGCATGCCTTATAAGTACTGTAAGATCTGTACATATTAATCCACTAACTTATAGAGGCATTGTTTGTTGATGACGTACTTGTTGGAGTTGGACTATTTCGGATTTGTTAGATGTAACAAAAAGCCCAGTGAATAATCTCGGCTAATACAGTACGTGCTGCATTGTTAGGGCTGTGTACTGAGCAAAAAATTTTGATACTATACAGTACAATATTTTGTAAAGCGATTTGCTTGTTTGCTTGTAAAGCAATATGACACAATATATTGCATTCTTTAACAAGTCTTTCAAAAAGTCTTGTAAATCATTTAATGCATAAATCTTATAAAAACTGAGTGTTTTATAACTCATTTAGAAGTTCTTGTCTCACCATCATTACAAGATACACTTCAAATTCAAACTTTTAAAGACAGTGTAAATCCAACATGTTATGATATAGTTGCCTATGCATTTTGTAATAATTGATGTAAGATGTGTGATCTCCTTAATTTTTATATCATTACTGATCAGTTTTAATTCAAAACAGTTAAATATAATCTTTGGTGATTGAAATTCCAACTTTTTCACAGAATTATAAGGAAAACTGCCTGCCCGATCCGTATTGGAAGTTATTTTTCAATACTTAGCATTCTGGAATATCGGTACATATCGATATTGATACAGCCCTATGCATTTCACAAAGACAGAATTATATAATGAATATAATCATGAACATTTTTATATAAAATGTTATCCTTGTGTGGATTTTCATAATTATAATATGTATGTATAGTTGAGCCATGCATGATTAGTGGTGTTCCAATCATGGATTAGAATCGAAAATCAGTCGATTACTGCATAATCCAAGCGCTCGATTACAAATATTTTATTCTGATTAATTGGGTTATTTTATTTTACAAGCATAATAGTTTTTAAGCCGAATATTCCAGCCACTACTTGTCTATTAACTTATTTGTGTGGTGGTATTGTAATGGTGCAGACTAACAGACATTATGTATTCCTACCCGGGTAACAACCTCATTCCTGGGTATGGACGTACTTTGGATTCTACAAAATGAATGAAGAACCAACTGGACTAGATAGAACGTCCTATCGTTAAAATGATATTGTCCTAAGGACTAGGGCTTGTCCCGAGACACAGTTAGATTATTCTAACTACAGCTGGACCACCACAAAAGTAGTTATTCACCCATTCTTACCATTTAATAAACTAAATTGACAGACTAATTGTAAATGTCCGATTATAATTGATAATTATTTAGTTACAGTAGTCCGATCATCGATTATGAAATTCTTACCGATTCCCATCACCCTCTGGATGAAATTGTACACAAAATTTATGTTAATGTCTACCTATTATAAAAAGTATATTGCTGTAAATTGGACACTTCATCAATCCGGACGATCAAGTGACCAGATTAATGAGGCTAGAATGTATATACAGTAAAACATACTCATAGCGAACACGCTTATAATGAAATATTTACATTTTTAAATTTCTTTGTCCAAGATAAAACTACAAATAGTAAAAATACTTGATTTCTACATAAAATAGCTACTGGTTCATCAATAGGCTCGGACTAAAAATATCACATGCAGGGTCGGAGACAGAGAGAGACAGAGTAAGAGAAGGAGGCAGAACTTCGAGCACGTGAATTTACGGAATCAAGAGCATGTAAATATAAGGAATAACTGTCAGATTTTTTGGTTTTATGATAATGATCAAGCAATTGGCTTGCGTGATAATTTTATGCATAAATGCCTTCTGCGTTTATGCAAAATATCACGTAAGCCAATTGCTTGATCACATCATATATAAAAAAATTAGACAGTTATTCCTTAATTGATGCTTACAGCAAAGTAATTTTCATTCCCTGTGGCTTTAAAATATACTGTGAACTC